ACACACACACACACACACACACACACACACACACACACACACACACATGAATAAGAAGTTCATCACAGGGATTTATGATAAAAATCATATTTTTTTATTGAAAAACAACAAATGCACATTGAAATTCGACATGTCACAGAGTGTGTGTCTCTTGGATGAGACAGTTTAAAGGAGACTTATTATGTTTTTCTCAGTCCTCCAGTGGGTTGCCCATGTTTTTTGTGAATGTATAAAGTGTGCATGGCTCCAAATCCCAAAGTCCGCAGCAGAGGGAGCTCTTTTCTCCCACAGTAAACACAGAGAGTGGTTAAAACTTTTCTAATGCTTCCGACCCACGTCTAGGTAACAAGAGAGGGAGGAGGAGCGAGCAGCGTTTGTAATGAGAGTTAAGGTTTGTTTTTTGGTGCTGTCGTTAAATCAAAACACTCCACAGTCAACCAAGCCAAAGTCTCCTGTAGGAACCAGTTTGTGAGGATAACGAGAATAATAGGTCTCCTTTAAATTCATTGGAATCATTGACAAAGCTACGAGCGTGTTGAGTGATGATTACAAGAGTGCAGCAGCATAACCAGTACACCACACACACACACACACACACACACACAGAGTTACACACTGTTACATTTCCGTTTGTCATTCAGAGAATCAGCGACACCGTCCAACGTAACAGTTTCACTTCACAGGAAACAGATAAAAAATAAAATATAGTAGACTCATTCTAACCATCTACGCACACTGAATATGAAAAATGAAACAAGGTGTAAAAAACAAAAAAACATATCTCACTGTTCGTGTCTCCATTCAAAGAAACTAGAAATAAGAAAGATACGAAATAACAAATGAACAAAGAAACATTTGAAAAGATCTTTCTTTATCTTTCTTCTTTGTTGGTTTTATTGGCGGATGGCAAACAACATTGAGGTGCACGCTAAATACAACAAAGCCATCATAGGCATTGAAAGATTTCAAACTTTGCACACATACACAGTGAAATGTGAACTAAATAACTCTCAGTCAAGTATTCTTTATGACTTAACACTCTCACTGTGCTTCGAAGGACAGGATGTAAAAGCATATTAAACACCATTCGAGTGCATTAAGCATGTTGGGAAAAGAAAATCTAACACTAAATGTACAAATAACCTCCATAATATCTGGATTAGAGGCCAATTTATGCATCTTAAAGCTTAAAAATGTAACGTGTCAGCTTGAATGCATTGATTTAGTCGAAAAAAGAAAAGTATTTCGGAATAACAGCTTTTAGAGATTCACCTCTTCAATGTAATACAAGAAAAGACGACTTCCGTCCATTAGTTTTGAAATTGAATAATCCTAGTTTGGTCTTTCTTGACCTGCGCTGTGGCAAACAGGACTCCAATGAAAGAAAAGCAAAGAATAAATGAACACGAGTGAGTCACTCTCTGCATACACAAGTGCTTTGGTATCTAAAAATATACAACAAGTGCAAAAAACAGGATTTAACACCAAGGCAAATGTATGACTAAATTTCACAGCCATTAATTTTTGAAATACTGTTTAAATTTGTAATTATCTGAAATGGTTGAACGGTTAAAAGAATTGTAATATTACCAGCCTCTGTGTTCCCCTGAAAACCTTCATCACGTTGTCCTTATTGTGGCGACGACATGACTCTAAAGTACCTTTCATAAATCAGCATGTAGTCAAGTATAATACCCAGAGAAGTAAGAAACCCTCACTTCATACAGACAAGCAACAACGCTGCTATAGATCACGTCTTATAGATTTACTACATGTGGTCATTGTGCACATATCACTTCCTAAAGCATAAGAAACCGCCTCGGAATAGTTGGAAGAAGGCACGTTTCTCACTATTTGCATTAATATTGCTATAGCTTGTGGTAAAAACTAAAGGCACATGTGAGGACATTAAAGGTGCTGTATGTTAACTATCGCTTTATAGCTATTCACTAAACAGTCGAGATCAGCACCAAACTTAATTCCTTGATTTGCCAATAACTTAAATTGGGTGGCACTACGCTTCATCCTCTACTGTTGGACTGAGGACGGACTTTGACTCTCTATTGCCTCCTGAGACAAAAAGGTTTTTTATGAGACACGATGGACTGGGGCTCAGCGTTGCCTCATGTTTGATAATTATTGTATATGTACAATAATTTGTCCCCTCTGTAGGATGTACGATCAATAATGCCAATAATGCATCAGTAAGTAATCAGTATGGATCCTATGTCTGTGTTTACTAACTGATTGTGATGACGATCTACGTGAATATGGACTATGGGTTCGTTTTTTAACGCATTTCTTCTCACGTGACGTCTGTCCAGCCAATCACAGTGGGCACGGAGGATGTAGGAGACACAGACAGTGATTGAGAGCTGTAGTTTTAAAGTTTTTACTCACGACAGCATGTTTGTTTTTTTTCACCTGGCGAGATTTGTGGGCAGGGACAAATCCTCGTTCTTCTAAACTTAGGCAAATGGTTTTTTTTTTTTAATTTTCCCCTACATTACGATGATTTTAAACCTCTGGTACGACGCTTCAACATTTCCTATCTTGCTGTGACTGGCTAGTTAGCATGCTAACGAGTGGACATCCCTCAAATACGTTAAGACGTCTTTGACGCAACATCAAAACTATTATTTCTTCCAAATGAGTTTTTCTAAATGTTCTAAATTAAATACGTACATGTAGCACCTTTTAACCTGAGGACATCTTTGTGCTGCACAGTCACTTAGACCCCAGAGAAATATTTGAGGGAAATGTTCATCTCTTGTACATTCAGTTCTAGTATGCAATGAATGTGAAAAGGATTATGGGACATATAGTCATTTTGTATTACAAAATACCAGTTTGTTTACTACCTACAAAATCATGTGTCTGTCTTTATGACCTTAAAAGAAAATTGTATGCATGTGTCTAAGTGTATTTATGTCTACGTGCACATTTCTCCATGCATGTATTGTGCATGTATATTTGAATGTGTGGGAGTGGTGTGTGCGTGCCAATTATTGTGTCTTCGAGTGTCTTGTGTCGCTGTACGTATACTGTGTGTTAGATGGGTGCAGGGACCTGTTGCCTCCCTGGTCCAGATTGGGAAGAGAATTTCTGAGAGTGCCAACGAGTCTCCTTGTACACGAACCAGGCGTTTCCTGCCCACACGAACATGTTGAGGTAACCGAACACCTGGAGGAAGAAAGACAGAAAGAAAACTATAGTTTACAAGCAGAAGAAATATGTGATAATACATTCACAACAGAATGACAAAACTGAATTATAAATTTGCTTTGTGATACAGAAAGTGTTTTGCAGTGGACGCCAAGAGTGCATGAAGAAAATGGAAGTGCTTTAGCTCAGTGTCGCATGACTGTGAGTCAGGCTGCTTGCTGCCTGTTGTCATATTACATGAAAAGGAGCCATCGCTGTGTCTTATTTATTTATTTAGTGGGACGAACGTGTCCACATGTTTGGATTCATAGATCAGAGCAAAGCAGGGAGCTTGAAAAATGCTGACACTGATTAATTCATCATTCAGATGTGTTTCATTAGAAATAGAAATGACAGTAGAGTTCAAAGCAACATAAATTTCAGTCAGTTTGTCACACAGCTCCATCCAAAGGATTTACACAGCTAATGCATGAACAGACTTTGTTGCATGAAAATGATGAATTTCCCCTTCGGAAGAGAATTTGGTGCAAGTGTAACAAAAATCTTAAAGGAGAAATATGAAGGTTTTAATTTTTTCTTTCCTCTAGTGTGTCAACGGTCTGCATGATACATCTCCTTTAAAATCCTGTTTTTCTGTCTCACCACAGAGATGTTGAGGGTTCGCATGTTGGCGAACTCTGTGACCTCGCAGGTGATGTTGCTGCCCTTGCAGAGCGCCAGCGTGGCACTGATGCCGTCAGTGTCCGTGGCGTCCTTCACGTTCTGCAGGCCCTTCGCCCAGGCGGAGGAACACACCAACCACAGGAAGACGAGGATCGCCGTGACAACAAAGTCCTGGGAACAAGGACGGACAGCTCAGTTAGACAAGATGCTTGTCTGAGAAGTTATCATGTCAACAAAGACGATGACATCAATACTCACGAAAATGGGTCCAAAGTCAGAGTCCTTGTAGACGTGCATGTAGCCTAAATAAACCAGCAGAGCCACCATGCTGTACAGGAAACAGACGACAGCGATGCCCACGAAGAACTCGGACGAAGACGCAGAGTCTCCTACCAAGTGCGTTGTCGTGACGGAGCGGTTGCAAATAGTGTCGTTTCCCTCGATGAGCGGGAACTGGCTTAACCTGACCGCAACAAGACGGAGGTCGGTGAATGTTATTGCTTACCATTGCGTTTTCTTAACCGAGCGATGCAGCGAGGATTCTCACCTAAATGGGTAGTGGAAGTTGGCAGTGAGCGTTTCGTTGCTGCCGTCGCCGCAGAATAAAGACACGATGTTCTTCCCAGAGAAGCCGCCGCAGCTTCCAAAAGCAAATATGGCCGTGAGCTGTTTGGACAGACACAAGAGAGAGGAGAGAGATGAGGAGAGAGATGAGGAGAGAGATGAGGAGGAAGATGGTTGAGAGAAGGGAGAAAACACTGTTCAGCTCTGGGGGAAAAAAAACGAAAACCAAGATACTGGAGATTTTAAATATTGTTTCTATTCATCCTAAAGAGCAAAAACACTTTTGTTAAACGATATTGATTTGTAAATGAAAAAACATATTTACTTTTCTGGATATTTCAATTACAATTCTTTAATTTATTTGTTTTATTCACTTTCTTTAGCTTTGTATGTAAAAAAGTTTTATGGCCTTTTTATTATGTGAAGATAAAGTCAAGTACATTATAACATCATTTAATTGATCTGTTAATTAAAAATGGGACCAACACTGCGTGTCTTGAATTATTTCTTTCAGGGTCACAAACGCATCAGGGTCTCGACCATGTGACACTAACACTCCAACACAGACTAAACTCTTCTCAGCAGAAACTCTGATGGTGTAATTCACTGTGTGTGGAGCTCGTCCGGGCTCTCACTGATATCGTCTTACACCATCATCACGGGTGCCTCAACACATACATGAGAATATGGATTTTCTGCTCAAAATCTGACGTTACATACTTTCACACGTTGTCGTCACGGATACAGTTTCACGTCTCTGCACATCGTAACTAATCAAACATCTTGTTTCATGCAGCAGGTATTTCTCAGCAGCTGTTGGATGAAGATGCAGAATATAAAAAAGGGGATTTTCCATTAAAGGAGTCAATAAAAGTCAAGAAACAGAGTCGTGTTTTAATATCCCTGTTTCCCAGAAACATCTTAAACCTGTTTTCATTTATTCAATCTGTAAACTTAGGAAGAGTATTACTCGGGTATAAGATAAAAAACAAGACTTTTTTTTTTCCCCCTTTGCACTTCAAAAATAAAAGTTGAAATGTCTGAAGTCTGAATCAGGGATTTTTGGAGAATAAAGTTGAAATGTCAAGCGACTGCAGGTGTTCCGTCTTTCCAAGCTCGTGTGGTTTCTCTTCTGTACTTAACGTAACTGACGCCACATGTCGCCTTCGAAAGTTGCCACATCAACTTTTTCATGTCTATTTTAAACATGCTAACAAACGGTGGCTTATTTGCACATCTACCAGACACGAAATGACTTCAGATCCGGGATTCTCGTCACCTGACAACCACAATAGAGGCTCTGCACCAAATGTTGAGGTAAATATCTGGCTTTTAACTTCTCCACTTTCTATTTTATATGAATAAAGTGTGATTTTCAAATCATATATCATTCATACGCAGGCCAACAGTTTAGGGTTCAGTGTCAAACAGACTGGAGGAGCTGGTGATCGAACCACCGACCTTCTGTTTAACGGATGACCCGCTCCATCTCCTGAGCCTTGGCTGTTTTGTGCGGTGACAGAACTTCAGAGTTAGGTGATAATTCTCTGTGGATCGTTTCACATTACACGTCGTCGCCTGATCCATTGTCAATACAAGAGTAATGGTTAAAGCAGCTTTAAAGTTACGATCACCTCTTAGAAAAGAACGACACGGCACGTTGCAACCTAAGAACACACTCTGTAATCTGTTTTAACCAAGACACACAAAACCAAACCACAATTTAAAAATAACACTGTCTCTTCGGTTCTGTTTGATCAGCACAAATGTATCACGGACACACGCACGTAAGTGAAAAGTGCTTACAAACAGGGGTAGGTCAACATCTAGATTTAGAGACCCACACGTACATACACATAATGGACATCTGTTACTCACCCACTCACTCACACATGCACACACACACACCTTAAGGCCTCTTCCCACATGTTTCTCCAGATGTCACTGGCTGCCACTTCCTGTTTTTCTGGCTACACACACAGCTACTTTTCGCACATTCCCGCCTCACAGACTCCGAACAAATGTAACAGCCGGCCTGCACCGAACCCACACATCAGCATTTAACGTTATTTTCTTTATGCTCTCATATTTCCACAGCATGAATTCTGGGATGTGTTTTGTCAAGTTTCCAGTATCACCATTCGTTTTCGTTCTGCAGAACCTCTCCGCCGCCACGACCTCTGTCCCAGGCATCTCAGACATCTGCAAACTCCTGCGCACCAATCTGGGAACATTCCCAAGGCTGCCAAATAAAGTGAAGTCCTCGCTCACAATCAATCCCTTTGCAAACATGGCGAGAAGAACTCGAAATATGCAAAAGGAGCGCGGTCACAGGTTCCTGGATGAGATGCAAACAATGAGGGGTGAACAGAATGAGTGCTTCTGGGGGCAAAGGGAACTGTTATCTGAGTTTAGCTGCAGAAATAAATGAATATTGTCAGAGGGCACTGAGTCCAGCTCAGTCAGGCCCAATTCCCCCTAAAAGCCACGGGCACATGTGCCGAGGACTTAGCCACTGGGTTTCCCTCGCAAATCTGGCTCTGTCTCTTAAGGCCGGGGGACACGACATCGTCACGAGTAGAGAAAAGAAACAGAGAAACCGATTCATCAGCATTATTCAGCACGTTGAGTAAATGCAGACATGTAGCGTTTTATTTCTCCTAAACCTTCCTTCCTGTTGGGTGAGATCCATTTGTTTTCACTTTCTTTCACATGGTAATGTTTGTTTCTTCTGCTAGCATCATTATTTGAATATCGATGTACATTCGGAATTTATTTTAATCAACTAAACTATTGATTGGTTAATTATTTCTGCTCCAATGTAAAGCATGAAATGAGTGAATCAACAAATGTGTTCACGCAGACCTGGAAATGACAAATTTAAACTGTATCAGTGCGATTACTTCTCAAACATGGCGCAGTCACCTCAACGTAAGTAACACATCATTAGGTCTTTGTGTAGATGAGGAAATCATCATTTCAGATAATTCAATGGAACCAAATGCTGCCTTATGATAAAAACTTCATTTAGCGAGCGATATTTTGTTGTAAGCAAACTATTGTGTTTGTTCAGCTCCTACGTTTTGTGATGCTTCCAAACATCAGGAGCCTTTTAATCATGTTTACTGTGGCCATTAGTGCTGTTGTGTGGGTGACGAGGACTCCGGTGTCACAGCACAGAGGAAGCTCCCTGCAACAACTGAGCCAGTCCAGGCGCACTATTAATCATCCAGCCCCTCGTGAATAAGAAAATATGTTGTGTTAAATAAGGGTTATGTAAGGCCAACACACACACACACACACACACACACACACACACACACACACACACACACACACACACACACACAAAGCCTTGTCCTGAGTCAGATGACTGGTTGCTGCTGCATGTGTGTGTGTGTTACAAGTAAACAGACCGGCTGAGAGAAACTAGCAGAGCTGCATTACCCACACTGGATTCCTCTGACCCAGTTATGTAGAACTGAACTGGACTTTCCATAAGTAACTGTTTAATGGAATGATGCACGAGTGTGTGAGTGTGTATATGAGTAGCCAGGAAATATTTCTCTTGTCTGCAGTGAAGTCAATTATTGGTGAAAGATGCATTAATCTCTAACTGTGTCATCTGAAGGGCAGACCTCTGCACTCAGCACACTCACTTTTTGTGATACATATTTCACTTTCAATTTTGAAGATATAAGTGTGTGAGGAAGCAAATGGAAGAAGCTAAATGAAGTTTAATGAAAATACCTTAATTTCTGTCACAGTGACACATTTTTGGCTTGGTTTCGTTGTTTCTTGGTTTCTTGGTTTCTTGGTTCGGTCTCTCTCCCTTTTACCAACTCATTTTCATCAAATAAAGTTCAATTGTCACTTTCAATCTAAAAAAAACTACATTTAAAGTCTGTGAGGAAGCAAATAAAAGAAGGAATGTAAACTTTAATGAAGTAAAATAAAGAAAAACCTTCTTTTCTGTCACACTGGACCAATTTTGATTTCCTTCACTTTACATCTCCTCTTCCTCAAAGTTTATTCATCACTTGAATCCTAATGATCCTAATTTAAAGTGTGTGAGGAAAGAAAATTAAAGAGGAAAAATCTGCTTTAATGACAAATAAATTATAATTCACACATTTTGGTTTGGTTTCTCTCAGTTTAACCAACTTTTCTTCATCAAACAAAGTTTATTTGTTACTTAAAACCTTCAAAATCTCAATTTAAAGTTTGTGAGGATGCAAATAGAAGATTGAAATAAAAATATTTTCAAGGAAACCATAATTACTGTCATGATGGATGTACTTTTGGTTTGGATTCTTGGTTTGGTTTGGTTTTCCTCACTCTTCGTCATCCTAAGTTTAATTTCTGACTTTAAACCTTAGATATAGCAATTTATAGTGTGTGAGGAATTTCTTTCACCATTATTCTTGTGTCAGAAACTAATTAAATTGGATTACATGAGTTGGATCCAAACTTTTAAATGTCAGATTACACATTTAGCCAGATCCCTAAGCTGCAGATGGAAGTAAAGCATAAATAGCAGTTGATGTATCTTTCTATAAATGTTTGATCACCTTATGTAATTGTTTATGTGATTTATAAATATGCTGTTTTAACAAATTCCTCCTGAAACAGATTAAGAGTTCGTTTTTTCACCAACGCCAGGAAGAAAAGGGAAAATCCAAGGAGCAAGGAAAAGGACTGATCCTCCCTGTCCTCTGGTTATGACACACACACACTTTCTCTCTCTTTTCACACACACTTATACGCATCTAACTTACCCACTCAACCAGTTTAACAAAGCCCAGCGGCTCCTTCAGCGGCGACAAGTTGAGCCTGAACCCGGTCATCATGTTAACACTCCTGCTCCAAACTCTTTTTTATCCAGTTGTTCCAGAAACTGTGGATGTTGAGCTCCAGCCAGGGGCAGGGGAGGAAAAAAAGGGGGAGTTGTCTCACAGAATGACGTGGGTCCTCTGCTGCTAACGCTGCAAGAAATGACCACACCGAGATTTCGAAAAGGGGAGTTTCACAGTCCAAGAAAGTCGATGAAACTGTGTCATCACAGCGAGATAAACTGTACTTACTGGAAACGCAGCTTTACGCGCAGCAGCTGCTTTAAGGAGCAGATGTGGATGTAGAAAAGGGATGAGTAGGGGTGGACGTGTTTTTTGCAGTGTGGCCGGAAAACGAGCGAGGTCCTTGTGCGCCGCTTGGTGATGCGTAATTACGCAGGCGACGTAGCGGATAAAGAGCGTAAAGTGTGCCAAATTACGCGCTGCTTTCGATGACCTACAGGGAAAAAGATGCAGAAAGCAACAGTTACATTATCTAATATGTTCTAGGGAGTCGCAGGGAAGTTTTTTTTTACCTTTAAAAGGCCTGAAAAACACACGACACTAACAGTTCACTCGCTTCTTCACGAACAACAAAAATGCGCGTCGGAAGTGTCCTACTGCGTTTTTATTGGATCCATCCGCTGCCTCCTGTGTGCTGAGTGCGCAGTCCCTGTGAAACTAAAGCCCCTCCGCTGCTGCTGCTGGTGTCTGGGTCTCATGACTCTCAAAACCCGGATTCTCAAAATTCTTTCAACCCAGGAAAGGAAAAAAAAAAAGAAAAAAGATGGAGGTTCATTTCAAGAGACCAGATTGCAGCCATGAGTTTTTAAAAAAGCAGCACATAGTCCATTTCATCCAGGAGACAATAAACTGGATGTGTTTGTTATAATTAATTATAGTCATTAAGAGGTTTGCCTGATGATATGATGATAATCATTTTTTACATTTGTATTTCTTTGGGTTAAAGATGAATTATTAGTGTAATACTAGTATAAGTCTATGTAGTAAATCTGTAAGTGCAGCAAGACAGGAGACAAGTTCAGCGTCTGGAGGTTGACTGAGAAAAAGTTTTAGGGGCAACACAAAAGTACAGTAACAAACTCATAAGCTCTTGGATCGTCTAGTGTTAACAGTGTGTTTTCATTCCGTTTCAACAACCAGGACTTTAGACTTTTCAGAAATTGCTTTCAGGTAGTCGGCTGAAGCTGATGAGATACTGAATGTTGGTTATGAGAGCTCTCTTCCCAGGCACTTCACATATGCAACCATGGTTATTTGTCAATTTTTGTCTTTAATTTTGTACACGTGATTATATTCTTTATCTCCTGTCCACTACATATGCATTATTTCACTTAAAAAATGTGGGTATGATTACTCTTAATGTACAGGAAAGGGAACATGCTCACTTGTCCCAGGAAAGGTTTACTGTTGTAGGATATGACCACGTAAGCTTTTTGAGGTTACTGTGTATAAAACAGTCAGTATCTGAGCACAGCCTGTATCATCTGCTTTATTTCACTCTGTTATTTGATGTTTTTACTTCATGAATGTCACTTGGTCTTGGTCTTCCATGCAAGCAAATTGCATGGCTCACCCCGCCGGTGCTTCACACACAATACCTCCCGGGACGTCCCTGGTCTCACTGTCCTGGAGTCTCCTCTTTTTTATAGAATGTTTAGGTTGCTGCACTTTAGCTCCCTTAATCATTCAGTCACGTTGTGCAGAATATCAAATCTAAATAGTGAACCAAGGTTTTGGTAAAGAGGAGTTTCATTTATAAGAATTGACTGTCACCCATGCTGCTATTACATTAAATTACATTGCACTGTATTTGAGACTAGGTTGAATTTCCATTTAAAACAGTATTGTACAGACTGATGCTAATCATATACTGTAAATTTAAGAACGTACAGCACTGTAGTGTGTTTTAGTATGTGGACAGCACTAAACTGTAAATTAAGGTCACAGTAAGAAAACGGTCAATCCCTGGCAAATATATGACAATTGTTTACAGTAGTGACTGATAGGAGCCATGAATCCTGTATCTATATATTTAGAAAGACACACAGGCAGATGTCATTCAATTGATAATGGAATCATATTTAATAAAATGTTGATATATTTACGGATCAAATCAAATTGTATTTGTATAGCCCAAATTCACGAAACACATTTTGCCTCAGAGGGCTTTACAATCTGTATGTCAGGCAGGGCCATGGCTGTAGTGGCAACCACGATCCATGACCCAGGAGCAGCCATGATCCATGAGAACCTCCTGGACGAGAGAGCACAGAAACTCCGGGGAAGAGGTTTAGGGATGGGGGATTTGTTTTGGGGCATGGGTAAAAGGTAAGGGCTGGGAGAGAAAGGGGTGGGACGTGGGTAAAGGGTGGGAAGGGGGAAGAGAGGAGGACGTGGAGGTGGGGTTGGGGGGTGTTCAGTCCTAAGGGCTGGTGTTAATTGCTGTGGACCCACAGCCGTACCTCAAGTCCAGCTCAGCATATACAGCTTTACGGACTGATTCTTTTTTAAGTGTAGTGATCATGATGGGTCTAGTCTTTCTCCTGACGAAAGGGTTTATTCCCTCATACTCATCAATGTACACTTTTGCAGGGATTTTTCTCCTGGACACGACTTTGGGAGGGTGTGTTCTCTCCAGTTTGACCTCTGTGGTCTTCTCTTTGTTGAGTTCTTTTGTCGGCTCATTTAACTTTACCAGCTCATCCTGGATTTCTTTGACCCTGCCAGTATCTCTGCACGTTCTTTTACAGTCCGGTTGACCCAATAACTCTATTTTTCTCTTGGCAATGTTGAGAGGTGCAACTTGGAATTTGTTTATCCGTGCCGCAATAAAGTCCATGTCTTTCTGGGTGAAGCTGTGGTTCAGGGCTTGTTTGATGGACTGCTCCTTAATGGCGATTTTGTCTGGAGTTGGGACTTGCATCCCAGCAGTCATCATCGCCTGTGTCCACTGCATGAACTCAGTTACTTTGAATTCCTCATCGGATGCAGACCCGAGTGTCACAGTTTGCTCATTAGCAGCGTGCCTGAGCTTAAACACCAGGTTAGTCTGCGTGGATCCCAGCTGGTAGGTCTGCTCCGTCTCCACCACAGACACAATTTCAGCAATGCAGTGACTAGGGTTGCTGCTGCTGCTGTCGTTGACAGCTACTCTGACGAAGCAGCCAGTCACAACGGTGGAAAAGAAAGGGGTGTGGCACCACTGCTCCAGCCTGTTTCTTGACAGGGAGATCGTCTTGAGCTTTTCTGGAGAGAGAACCTCTCCACAAGCTTTCTTCATCACAGGCCCGTTGTCTTGGTCGACCTGCCATCTTCTTTTGGTGCCACCAAGTCTCTCTGACGCTGCAGAAGCACCACCATGAACGGCCTCAAAAAGAAAACATACTTAAAACTCCATTCCCACTTTAACACAACATATACACATACTTTCCTCAGGACATAGGTCTCCTGGAAAGATTAACATGTAACCACATCTAATATTCATGCATATCCTATTAAAACCAAAGTGTGACAGAAGTGCTCCGAGTGTTTAACTGTAGTTGTTAGTGACGGCTGGTTGCACCAGCTGATCTTTAACACACTGTTGTTTAGAATAGAATAGAATGAATGTCATCACACAATGAAGCATGGAGGAATTACAGCCGCTACCACTGAAAGGTGCATTTAGTAAAAAAGAAATAAAATATAACAATAAAAATATAGTATAAATTAAATGTTTACAGGCGTTACAAACTATATAAAATAGTTCCTATCATCACTGTTAACATCAGTTTATTATCCTCTTATTAACTCAACACTAAAATCTGACATCCTGACATTGTAGGAGTTAGAAGCGTCCAGGAGGGGGCAGTAATGCAACACCACGGAGGCGAACTAGCGTTAAAGCCCATAGAAGAAGAAAACCCGAGTGGACTAAACAGTAAAGGTGAGACTGACCTGAGATCAGATCTGTGCAGAAGCTCAGCTGTCATGTGACATGTTATTTGTGTCGTTAGCATGAATTAGCATGAGCGTTAGCTGCAGGCGCTTTGTTTACGGACACCATGTGTGTTTTTTGAAAAATGCTAATTGAGTCGCTAGGTGTTGTAGTTGTGTTGGCGACGTCTGAATGCGGTTGCTATGGGCTGTTGCTAGCTGCTAATGTAGCTTAGACAAAATATAACATGAAGAAAAGTGTCGTTGTTTGTGTTTTTGTGAAAAAACTTTGGATTCGTGTGATAAAAGAAACTCGTCAGAGAGTAAACAGTGTGAGACGAGCTGAAGGACGGAGACCTGGCGCGGAAATACACTTGTTGACACCGGAACTTGTTAGCTATTAGCTGTTAACCCCACAAGCTAATTCGCAGCCAAGATGTCGGTATTTTATTTTATCCTGTTAGCTGTGATAAAAACATTATCATTCAATATTTCTACTCAGATTACAGAGTTTCTGAACTGTTTTGAAAATGAGTGCCCAACAAACACAAGTGCAACCACAAAAATCACTATTTCCTGTTTGTTCCTGTTTGCATCTTTGATCAAATCTTATTTAAAGAAATCACATTGTTTACATTGGATTTGTAGAAGTACAGTTTATATGAACATGGCTCACTGGACAGCAGAAGGACCAGTTGTGATGCATTAACTCAACCAACTCTATGAACATGTATTTGACCTGTAGACCAAACATAAATAATAATAAACATAAATCATTTACAGTGGAATGGACAGGAAAAGTTAAATAATCTTACCATGCTATGATTTCCATCCATTGCAGACTTTGCTTCAGCTGCTCATCTCAAGATCCAGGAAGCGAGTGAGTTTTTATTTTGCCAGAAACAGTTATTATCCAAAAGTTTTTGTACCATAACAAGATCAATCCTAAGCACTGTCATGTGACCAAATATGGCAAAAACACTGGG